ACGATACGCATAAAAAAAGCTAAGTCGGTTATGCCCTCTTGTCAGGTCTACCAGTTGGTCTATTCGTGGTAGGGGAAAGCTGTCTTTTGGGCATACTTTGTTAACTGTTTTGTAGTCCACGCAAACGCGCCATTTGCCGTTCTTTTTTGGCACCACTACAGTGTTAGAAATCCACCTGGGATAGTGTACTTCTCTGATTGCTCCTGCCTCTAGTAAGTTTCCCACTTCCTCCTCCACTATCTCCGCATGATGGAGTGCCGATCGGCGAGTTTGCTGTATAATTGGTGTGGCAGTTGAATGGACATTAAGTTGATGACAGATGAAATTAGGGTCAATGCCAGGATGTCATACGGTGTCCAGGCGAACACTTCGATGTTAAAGGTCAAAAATTCCATGACCTCTATTCTCTCGGTGCTGGATAGAGACGAGCTAAGCAAAAAGAACTTTTCTAGGTTCTTTTCATCTATCCTTACCTCCACCAAGTCTTCCACTACCTTTTGTTTGGCTGTTTTGCTGACGTCTGCGAACAATTCATTGTTTTCTGGCTCTTCTACCATCTGTACAAACCCTTTTGTAGCCCAGCTGCCGTTTACTGTGACAAAGCACTGTTTTGACATGATTTGGTCCCCTAAGACTTCTTCAATCACTCCGGTTTTGTTGGGGAATCGTAGCACCAGATGGTAGGTTGATGCTACTGATCGCATGGTGTGCAACCATACTCTTCCCAAGATTATGTTGTAAGTGGAAAGGACTTTCAATACCCAAAATTCCACTTGTTTCGTCATCATTTCTGCCTTGACTGACAGAATTATCTTGCCTACTGGCTATTCAGGCATTGAGTTAAAGCCGACTAAGCGAGATGTTGCGGGTGCCAAGTCTCTGTCCTCTAATTTTAGTTATTTGAAGGTCTCGTAGTACATTATCTCGTAGGAGCTCCCTTAGTTAATTAGGATTTGCTTGATGTCGAAGTTCTTGACGTGCAAAGTGACCACTAGTGCATCGTTGTGAGGGCATTGTAACCTTGCCAAGTCTTAGTTAGAAAAGGAGATGACGTTCATTGCCTCCGTTTTTTCTCTTTTGACGGTAGGTTGTGCACTTAGTACCTCTCTCAAGTGCTCAGCCTTTTTGATCATCCCTCTGAGCTCACATACCTGCTCGGGTTTGACGATCCCATGTATCACGTTGATTATGCCTTGGGGTGGACCGTCGGCCGGCATCCCATTTGGCCTGTTGTGCTCCTAGGGGTCGGCTGTGTTCCCCCCTCTATATACTGGTCCAAGTGACCAGCGACCACTAACTCCTCCAGATGTTGCCTCAACAGTGTACAATTTTCAATCTGGTGCCCCTTTTCATCATGGAATGTGCAACGGTGCCTATCATCATAGCCCCTTTGTGCTTCTCTCAACTTGGCTAGCCGCCAAACGAAGGGTTCGTCGTGTATCTCGCTAAGACTTCGGTAGATAGGTTCGTTGAATACTGTGGTAATGGCAGTGCGGACTCTCAATTTCCTTTCTTGGGGGTCCTCTCTGTTGGCTCGTTTGCCTTGCCCATTCTTTCTCGATTGTTTTACCGTGTTGACTTTTGCTGCTGTTTTTCTATTCAGCTTCGCTGTTGTGCTAGATTTTGCTTTAGCGCGGACGCTATCTTTTTCTACCTGGATGTGCTGATGCACTCTCTAATAAGTGCTGATGCACTCTCTCTATTAGGGCCTCTATTGTGAGGGGTGACATCATTGTCATTGAATCCCTCAACTTGTTACCTATCGGTAAACCCCGTTTGTATTGTGCGATAGCGAGATTTGTGGAGCAATCCTTAATCTGATTGAAATTCTCCCAATATCGACTGTTATAAGACTTCAACGTTTCCTTCTCACCTAATGGAGAGTAGCTGGTCAATCTTCACTGGTGTTTGTTCTGAATTTGGTCACAAATGCCTCTGCCAACTACGCCCATGAAGCTATGCTACCTTTGGCAACCTTTCAAACCATGTTAGACCCAGGTCACCAAGGCTGGAAGGAAACAAGATACACATTAGGGCCTCGTTTCGTCAATACACGGCCATAACCTGGCGAAAGTGGCTTAAGTGCATGTAGGGGTCTGACTTCCCCTCATAAGTAGTGAATTTGGGCTGGTGGAAGCCTGAGGGTAACGGTGTGTTCTCAATTGCCCGAACGAATGGTGAGCTCTGCAACCTTGCTAACACTTTATCTGCTAGTTCGTAAGCAAGGTGTGGTATTGGCATCCCTACCTTAACACTCCCATTTGACCTAGGAGCCAATCGCTGTAGAGTTGAAACTCTACGAGGGTCGTGAGCCTGGGTGACCTCCTTCCATCGGGCCCTCTCATCTAGCACTGTACGCAGGTCTACCGACCCAGGAAACTCCGTGTGCCTAGATGTGGTCTGGTGCATGTGCGAGGGCTGATAACTACTTCCTTCTGTGTAAGACCTTTCAGTCATCATTCTCCCAGACTTAAAGTAACGAGTCTTGGAAGTCCTTGATTGTGTATCGTCTATCTTGAGGCTTCTACTTTCAGCTTATGATGGTATGACCTGTCTATCACGATCTTCTGAGTGGTAAGAGATTATGTTGCTTCTATACCCCTCTTCTGTTGCCACCCTTTTGCCTTTTATCTGGCACTTCATTGTCTCCATGTCTGCTGCCATCCTCCGTATCAATTTCTCATGCTCCCTTACCTGATCTTCTAGAACCTGAGGATCCAACCTTCACCTCTGCCTTTCAGGGCTTTAGGAGCGACAAGGACTAGAGCCCCATGTTTCACGGGTATCCCTTCGTGGGTTTCGTCACTGGGGATCTAACTATACCATGGGCAGGATAAAATGTAAGCCTTCGTGCCTTCCACCTCCCTCCGGGGTTTGCCCATCAATGACAGAGTGTGGCAAGTCTTCATTGTGCGTTATTGAATTAAGTTGAAAGAAAACTTAATCAAAAGGTTTGTTCTTTATGATTGCAATTCCCACACACGGCGCCAATTGTACGAGCACGAAATAATCTTCTCGTATAATCCTATTGATCAACTTTTCACTTTTCCAAACGTCATCGCTTTACTACCTGAAAACGCAAACGTGAGCTAGTCGGCAGGTGTGTGCCGGAAACCTCTCCAATGCCTAAGTCAGCAAATAGACAATAGACACAAAAGCTCTGTGTATTAAAGAGTAGAAATTGTGATACCTATACATAGGTCTTGTCATGAGCTTTTATAGATTTCACTTGGCACAATCCTAGTAGGACTCCAACTTTCCTAAGTAGAGTCCTTCTAGGAATCACACTCATCAGGATAATACCTATCCTGATGACACCCTTCTTACTATCAACCCAAATAAGATGACCCAAACCTCCTTACCTCGGCTCGGTAGCAGCTCAACTGAGTTAGGAAGGCCTTGCCCCACGCTAGACAAAACCAAGGCAGTCTTTAGCTGAGATAACCACTCCGGAACGCTGCACCATCGTACCCCGGTCCTGCTTTGATATAACCACCTTGGTTCAAGCCTTGGGCTGAATATCCATCCAGTCCACGATCGAGCTTAATCTATTCTCATTTCCGCCCGCAGCGCGGCCCAATGACCAAGAGTGAACCTAGCTCGGTCCATTCAATAGATGGCCTTAGCTCGGCCTTATTTAGACATAAATTGCCCTCTCAGATTTCATGAAAGAAGTATTGTGAAAATCTTAGCTATAGATTTTAGGAATACATATACATATATATACATATTATATATATGCAATTTGGAGGTTTATATATATACATATATGTTAGAGTTGGTAGCATGGAAGGAAGAAGAAAGAAAATAGATGTGTGTGTGTATATATATATGTATGTATATTTGTAGGTATAAAAGAGAGAAGAGGAAGAAGATGGGGGCATAAATGTAAATTTACACATTCTGTTAACAGAAGTTGGTATGCGTTTTAGTCCACAAACCACATGGGGGTTATGTGGTGATTTCTGAATGTCAAGGGATAATCCGCACACAGCCCAAACCACAGGGAGTAAAGTGAAGTTTGCCCTAAAATTTTTACATCTTAATTGTTGATTTGTTTAATAATTAGTCAATTAAAAGATTTAATTTCCTGCCACATTAATGTAGGTAAATTTAGAAATTATGCTTTAAGGGTTTCTAGCATTAGTCTTTTATTAATGGAGGTAGTTCCTCTTCGGTCCATGCAATTTGGTCTCGTGGCCCCGCACCATGAGTCTCACCGTAATGATCTAAACTGTTTATATTTTAGACTATAAAGTATAGAACATCCATGAAAAGGATTAGGTCGATTTGATTACTATAAACACGTTAGTTTATTGCATTTACCTCCGAAAATATGATGGTCTAATTTTTAAATAATATTTATCATTCATTTATCTAATAATATTTTATGGTTAATTATGATGTCATTAGCTGGCAGCCGATTCTTTATAGGAAAATGTCTCGTAACTCAAATTTTGTGGCTCAAAAGTGGCTCAAATGGCCAAAACGACGTCGTTTTGGCCATTTTTATGTTGTTCTGTACTCAAAACGACGTCGTTTTGGCCATTTGAGCCACTTTTGAGCCACAAAATTTGAGCTACGTAGCATTGCCGTTCTTTATAAAACAACCAACTAAATCCTTGATTACTTTATTCCACTACACCATAACTAACTCATACCACTAATTAAATCCTAATAATCAACTTTTTAAAAAAAATGTAATATTTGTTTACCACATTGTTTTCAAAATCTCTGTTCTTCAATTCTAAAATTATGTTTGGATGTTAAACTTAGACTAAAAAGAGAAAAGACAATGAAAGAGAACCCTTTTGTTTTCCCTTTTAACAAGTTCCACCCCAAATTCAATATCCAAACAGGATTTAGGTGGAATTGTATGGACCAGCTGAAGGTCAAATTGAAGATGCATGATGGGAGGGTAGACAATAAGGAGAGAATGACAGGAAGAGACACACAAACGCAGCCTAGGACCATCTGAATGTCAAACAAACCTTAATAATCTTTTGAAACAAAAAAACTGAGACATATGATTAAAAGTGGATCAAATTTCCACTACCGGAGCTACCACTCAGTGACTTCTGATGTCTGGTGTAGAGCTCGACGATGTACACTTCTTTGACCCGGTTAATGAAAGTGGGTCCAAGTAGAGACAAGTGGTGAAAAACCAACACCCCGCAGCGTGTTTTCAACGGTTGGGATTGGAAAGTACATATTCATATCCGGTGGGGAAGTGGATCCTAGTGACTTGGGCCACCTTGGCGCTGGGAAATTTTCGGATGATCTCTATGCACTCGACACTGAGACACTAGTGTGGCAGAAATGGGATGATAGCTCAAACTCCGGCGATAATCATCCAGGACCACGTGGATGGTGTGCATATGCTCCTGGGAAACGAGATGAACAACCTGGATTGTTGGTGTATGGTGGCAATTCGCCTAGCAACGATAGGCTCGGTGACATTTTCTTTTTCACTCCTAGTTCATTCCTTGCATGAGTGGAAATGGAAAATGATCATTGATGGGTAAGGTTTTTTTGCTTTTGTTTTTTGTTGTAGTGATTTGCAACGATAATCATGATGATATGTATGTATATGTGTGTCTGATGGTATTGCCTCCTTATGTGTGCAATGAATAAATTTGATTTTGATGAGACATTGTTGAGTCTTACAGGAAATGAGAATGAATGTGTTGTACTTTGCATTATGTAGTCTCAGAAAGCATTATTTTCTCTCTGAATCACCCAATCCAAACGGGATGTTACGAAAGGCCTTCAATCCTTAGTCAAGGATACGATCAGACTGGTGACCACACCTTTGCCCATTTCCAAGTACTCTGCTACCTTCTCTGTTAACCTATCGAACAGATCGTCCATGATCGCTTCTCCAAACTGACTCACCAGGAAATTAATGTGGCAGGAAACCAGAGAGAACAGAGTAAGATAAAAAAAAATTGAAGATCAATCAATATTAGACAGAGACTTACAATATGTATAAACAGAGAGAGAGAGAGAGAGAGTAGTGAGTTATTGGAGTAGCTAGAGTCTCCTTCACCTCCATTCATGTGAAGAACTTGCTCTACTTCCATTGATATGTTTGGATTTCAGCAAGTGATCTACCTTCTGTTTTCCTTGTGCATGGACTTGGCTCTGTCTCCTCCATTTATTTACTCCATCTGAATAAATAATTTTATTTGATTTTTTTATGTTTTTTTAATTAAAAGGATGACTTGCATGGTTTGCTAGCCTAGAAACTAAATAGAAGGAATCTTGACAGGCTTAACAATGCTGGGTAAGATGCACAGGAGATTCACATACACGTTTTCAAGATTCACATCTTCATTTATCCAAAAAAAAAAAAAAAAAAGATTCACATATCTTCTAAACCAACAAATATGGAGTTGTAATTTACTCTAAAAGCACATGAGATTTGGGCTATTTTGCAATTTGGTTCACCTCTGCATTATCTTTATCTTTTTTTCTTTTCTTTTCTTTTTTTTTCTTTTTTTTTTGTCTGTGTCTGTCTCTTGTGGAAACTGCAGTTTACTTTGAAAAGAAATGTTGAAAAGTAACATCACTGTCAAATGTACTCTCATAATAAAATTTTTACATCTTAATTGTTGATTTGTTTAATAATCAATCTATTAAAAGACTTAATTTCTTGCCACATTAATGTAGGTAAATTTAGAAATTATGTTTTTAGAGTTTCTAGCATTAGTCTTTTATTAATGGAGGTAGTTCATCTTCAGTTTACGCTATTTGGTCCTGTGGCCCCGCACCATGAGTCTTACTTTGATAATCTGTACTGTTGATTATTTAGATTACAAAGTATAGAACATTCATGGAAAAGATTAAGTTGATCTGATAATTATAAACACGTTAGTTTATTACATTTACCTCTAAAATATAATGGTCTAATATTTAAATAATATTTATCATTCGTTTATCTAATAATATTTTATGGTTAATTATGATCTCATTAGCTGGCAGACGATTCTTTACAAAACAACCAACTAAATCCCTAATTACTTTATTCCACTACACCATTACTAACTCATACCACTAATTAAATCCTAATAATCAACTTTTTTAAAAAACGTAATATTTATTTAACACATTGTTTTCAAAATCTCTTTTCTTCAATTCTAAAATTATGTTTGGATGTTAAACTTAGACTAAAAAGAGAAAAGACAATGAAAGAGAACCCTTTTGTTTTCCCTTGTAACAAGTTCCACCCCAAATTCAATATCCAAACAGGATTTAGGTGGAATTGTATGGACCAGCTGAAGGTCAAAATGAAGATGCATGATGGGAGGGTAGACAATAAGGAGAGAATGACAGGAAGAGACACACAAACGCAGCCTAGGACCATCTGAATGTCAAACAAACCTCAATAATTTTTTGAAACAAAAAAAAAAAAAAAAACTGAGACATATGATTAAAAGTTGTTACTAACATTTCTTTAAAGATTCAAACAAGTCAAGGTTTAGTTTGGTGAAGAGAGAGAGAGAGAGAGAGAGAATAGACACTAACAGATTTTCCTTTCATTTTCAACAACATAAAAGGGCCTAGTGTGTGCTTGTCTTCATGATTTTATTATGCCTCTGTGATAATATTTTTTGTAGCGGCCAATCTTTTGATTTCTTTCAATCTCAGCAAAATTTGAATATGGCTATACATTTGAGTTCTTGTTCTTCCCCAACCGCTTTTTCGCTTTCTTCTTCTAGTCATGATCTCATGTTCGCAACAATAACTCATTCCTCCACTTGGGTATCTCAGACTCGCTCAAAAATTCATTATTGCAAGCATTTTGAGATCAAATCCTCAAATGTGCAACCATTGAATTCTATTTCTTTGCAAAATGGTGAGCTCTTCATTCCACTATATGTTATTCTATTACTTTTGTCATTTTTAATACCAGAGACAGATCTAGACTTCATGGCACCTAGTCTCTAACTATTCCTTTTACACTTGAGGACTAGTTTCTTCCTCGCAATACTATATGCATTCCTATATGAGTAGGACTTGTAGATAAATAAGTATGGCGAATAGGACTGGCCGGTAAATTTTCTTTTTTTGTAAAATAGTTTTCAGGTTTATTTGGTTTTGTTTTTTGTTTTTCCTTTTGGCGGTGGTGAAGTTATTTGCATTATCCGGCCCATATACCCAAAAAGAGAATAATAACAATACTAATAATAAGAATTTAACCCATTTGATTTTAATCAGTTCAGGCCCAAAGAAAAAGATCCGATGCCGATTAGGGGTCGGATCCAATACTTAAAACCCGAATTTTCGATTCAAACGCAACCACCGACGAGCCTTGTCTTTTCTAGGTTTGGTTTGGTTCGGTTCTTCCGGTTGATCGTCTCCGAAAGATTCATCTTCTGAGTTCACACACACTGTCATCATCACTTGGTAGTACAATACAATTAGTTGCTTTATTTCATCTAAAATCCATTAGGGTTTTGTTATTTTCCCCAACTTCGATTTATTAGTTTGTTGGTTCAGTGAAGTTATTATTAACTTCTTGTTGTTAAGGATCTTAGTAGTTGTTTTGTTTGTTGGGAAATAAATATTCTGAAGGATTTTAATGCTTCAGTACCTAGTTCTAGTTAGTTATGTGATGCATATATGATTGATATAATGTTTTGATGATTGATATAATTAATGCGGGCAAATATGTCGGTTGGGATGAAATTTGTATTAATTAGATTGCCTGAAGAGGTGTTTGAGTTGGGTTTGGTGTAATTTTGCTTAGAATGGTTGGTTGGTTAGTTAGAGAGAAAATAAAACTGTATTGGGTTGGTGTGATATGGAATTCCGTTTGTCAGATTTTGTAGTAAAAAATGATTTGTTATGGGAATTTCCTATTTTTGATAAACATCCTCAACTTAGGTTTATTTGGACTGTAATGACTAGTGAGGACTGTAATGTCTCCTGATAATACCTCCATTCATGTACATTCAGTTTTTGTAACAGCAGCACGAAATAATTGCTCCTCGTGTAGTTTCTCTCTCTCAGTTGTTTGACATAGGGGTGTTCAAATTACCCAGCGAACCGAAACATCGAACCAAGCCGATCTCTTTGGGTTGGGTTGTTTTTTTAGTGCATTGGTTTGGTTCTGGTCTTCAAATCATCAAATTAATGGGATTGGGTTGGTTCTTCATTTAGGTCTTGCCTAAAACAAATCAACCTGAGAACCGAACCTATTTATATATATGTATATATGTTTTAAAATTTTATTTATTTATATTGACATGTCTTCATCTTATTGCACTATTACAATGGACTTGATTATACCTAATAATTTTTCATACACAAGAATTATTAGGTAAACGAAGGGAGTACTAGAAGCTTGAGTTAGATTTTGTAGTTGATTTAATTTGTATTGATTGTATTAGTGGATTTAATTTGTATTGATTATATTTAAGCTTCAATTTAATTTAATTTATATAGGCTTGCATTAAACAATATTTTGCTATTTGTTTTTGTTATGTTTAAATATTAAAGACTTGTTTATTTTAATTATTTATTATTGATTGATTTCTTATTTTTAATATAGTGGAATTATGGTTCCAATCTGAATCAACCGGAGCTACATTGGGTTGGGTTGGTTTTAGTGCATGTTTGGTTTGGTTCTGGGTCTAAAACTTGAAACCGATCATGATTTGGTTGGTTTCAAATTTAGTGTCAAACCGAACCAAACCGACCCATGAACACCCCTAGTTTGACATATGTCCATCTTTTTGCAATTCTCTTCTTTGTTTTCTCTTTGTTGTTTTGAATTCCACTGCTGAAGCTGAGGTGGGTTTGTTGATTAGGTTTAGCAGGGAACTCTCTGGCTAAAGAACATGTTGAGACCCAATTCAAAGAGAAATACTTTCACTTCTCTAATACAGAGAACGCTGAGTCTACTCTCAGCATCATTGTCATGGGAGCTTCTGGGGATCTTGCCCGGAAAAAAATTTTCCCTGCACTTTTTGCTCTTTTCTATGAAGACCATCTACCTGAGGTTCTATTCCACATTGCTTCATAAACTTTCGATTTTGTAAATTGTAGCTGTGCATATAAAGTAATATGCCATTTCAAGAAGACATGTTTACCTTTTTTTGTTTCCTATACAGAGTTTTACCGTGTTTGGCTATGGACGGCATGAGATGAGTGATGTGGAGTTGAGGAATATGATTTGCAGAACTTTGACTTGTCGTATTGACCAACGGTGTTTCATTTTTCCCGGAGCCTCTCCTGTGTAATACTTTACCCTACTATAGTTTACATTTGGGTTTAATAATCTTTTGGTTAATTACAGGGAAAGTTGTCACGTGAAGATGGATGAGTTTTTAAAAAGATGTTTTTACCATTCAGGTCAGTATAGTTCTGAGGAGCATTTCTCAGAATTGGACAAGAAGCTGAAGGAGAAAGAGGTAGTATGTCTGTTTCTTCAATTCTTTTAATGATATATTATATGTGGAATTCACACTCTTTTATGACGTCATATATTTGAGAGCAGTGGTAACAAAGATGTCCGCACCACATTAAGCTTTTTTCTGCTTTGACAATATCTAAAAACTTTTCTTCAGGGTCGAAGATTGTCCGACAGGTTGTTTTACTTGTCGGTCCCTCCAAGTGTATTTGTGGATGTTGTGAGATGTGCTAAACGGTGCACATCTTCAGAGAATGGTTGGACAAGGTTCATTGTCGAAAAACCATTTGGTCATGACTCAAAGTCATCTAGAGATCTTACCAAAAGTTTAAAGCAATATCTAACTGAGGAGCAAATATTCAGGTATAGTTATGCGTGTTGATTTAGAGATACATGTCTAGATGCCGAATTTCTTGAATGATTATTAAAAAAGAGTATAACTCCAATCAAAGAAGATCAAGATCCTGATGAAATGAAAGATCATAATCATGATAATGGATAATCAAAGGCCTAAAGGCTCCCACACTTGAATGTGCACCATGCACAAGTTTGGTGGGTGGGGAGAGAGAGAGAGATAGAGAGAGAGAGAGAGAGAGAGGGAAACCAATCTTTAACCCTGTCAACATTGCTTACAGGATTGACCATCAGCTGAGCAAGGAACTTGTAGAGAATCTGTTGGTTCTCCGCTTCTCTAATATTTTTTTCGAGCCTTTGTGGTATAGGAACTACATCCGCAATGTGCAATTGATATTTTCTGAAGATTTTGGGACAGAGGGACAAGGCAGGTTAGTTCAATATGTTCATTTCCGATATGCTTAGTGTAAACTATTTTTCTTTGAGATATATATTAACATTACTTTGTTGCAATTTTTCGTATCTCCAGATACTTTGACAACTATGGAATCATCCGAGATATAATACAAAATCATCTCCTGCAAATACTAGCACTATTTGCAATGGAGACACCTGTCAGTTTAAATGCGGAGGATATTAGGAACGAAAAGGTACTCCTACTCATCTTTGTCTATGGACCGTGATTACCAATTTAATCCATTTGATTTTTGTTACTGCTATTATCAGCGTGATCATCACTATTATTGTTATCATTAATTTTCCTGATTGTAAGTTCTTTTTTTTTTTGCCTCATTTAAAATAATTAATATCAGTTTTCTGTAACTAAAACTAGTTATCGTCTTCACAACCACTGTATTAGAAACCAATTGGAGAGGAATTATGTGATAATTCAGTGATCACAACTTGAATTAGGTCAAGGTTTTGCATTCCATGAGAACTCTCCGACTGGAAGATGTAGTTCTAGGTCAATATAAGGGCTTCAGTGATGGCAGTACATCATACCCTGCCTATGCAGATGACCCAGCAGTGCCAAATAACAGTCTCACTCCAACTTTTGCAGCTGCAACTTTCTTCATCAATAATGCTCGATGGGATGGAGTCCCTTTCCTCTTGGTAGCCGGCAAAGCTCTTCATTCCCGGCGGTAGGTATTTCTTAATCAAGAGGATTATTACTTCGAAATTAAGTTCATTTTTAAAGTTTTATTAATCTGAAAATGCTGTGGCAATGAAAATTCAGGGCAGAAATCAGAGTTCAGTTCAGACATGTACCTGGGAACTTGTACAATCGGAAGTTTGGAACTGATCTAGATAAGGCGACAAATGAGCTTGTGCTTCGTGTACAACCTGATGAAGCTATATATTTGAAGATCAACAAGAAGGTCCCTGGCCTAGGAATGAGATTGGATTCGAGCGACCTTAATTTCCTTCATAGAGCAAGGTAAGAGATTTAGAACCTATGATGCACGGATACTTCAAAAAGGGATACGTATTCGTATCGGATATTTATCGGCTACCGATACTTCTTAGATACTCGTGGATACATATCGGATACTTCTTAATTAATTTTTTATTAATTTTGGAGTATCAATTTTGAAGTATCGGATACTCGAAGTCACATATTACTTCTAATACGTTGTTTAGTTCTTTGATAAGAGGAGTATAGTGAGAGTTAAAGTAATAGAATTTGTCAAATTGATGAATCTTTATTGTCTCTCACTTCTCTCTCGCTCTCTCACATTTCTTCTCTCTACTCTCGTTCTTTTTCTTTGGTGTTGACATATAAGAATGAGGTTTAATTTGTATTATTTACTTTTGCTTTTAGTTTTGGATGTTTCATGAATGTTTGAAGATTCTTAACTTAATGGGAATTCCTTTTTTTATTTATTAATTTGCTTTAGGTTTAATTTTTTTTATGAACGTATAATTCCCGCCATACCCCTATCCTACTTTTTTAGAATTTGTCGTATCGTCGTATCTGTATCCCCGTAGTGTTGTATCCGGTATCCATATCCACATCTGTGCTTCCTACTTTAGAACACATTATCAATTTGAGATACTATTCTCAATATTATAACTATTGAGGCATATGATCTCAAGCTGAGTGTTATCACGTGCAATTTACCATGCAACGTTATCACACTTCAAATTTCAATCATTTTTAGTACATGTCAGGAGTAGTTATGGATTTTTGGGATCTGTTATATGAAGGTATCCAAGAGAAATACCGGATGTATATGAGAGGCTGCTCCTCGATTCTATAGAAGGAGAGCAGCATTTGTTCATTAGAAGCGATGAGCTTGATGCTGTTTGGTCATTGTTTTCACCATTGTTGAAGGAATTGGAAGAGAAGAAGGTCGCGCCAGAGCTATACCCGTGTGGTAGCAGTGGACCGATTGGACTGCATTATCTTGCTGCAAAGCACAATGTTCATTACACCGACGATAATTGTGAGGGCTATTGAAAATCTTCCTCAAATGTATGAAACTTTTATTTTGCCTTGAAAATTTTATTTTGCCTACCTTGGATGCATATGTATTATGTGTGATATTTAGTGGCATTGTTAAGATTGACTCAGCTAGTTGTAATCTGCGCGGAAGAATTTCACAGAAGTACAGAATGGGATACATGTGGGCCTTACCTTGTCTCTTTTCTGTGAAATTCTTCTGACTCTGTTCACTCTTGTTGAGTGAATAGATTGTTAGTTATCTTTCTTGTGCGGTGCCAACTGACAGGACAATTGCTTAACTTCAAGGCCGGTGCAAGAATCAAATCCATTTTTTTTTTCTTTTCTTCATGTGGGTTTTCTTTCTTCTTTCTCTTTTTCTTTTCTTTTCTGGTTGGAAATGTAATTCACACTACATTTCTTTACAACTGGTAACGATACTTTAGGGATATAATTATTTAGTAATTTTTCAAATCTTTTCCAAAATTTTGATATTTTTTATCTCAAAATATTATACATTTTTTTTTTTTTTTTGAGAACGAAAATATTAAACATATTTGAATGAAGTGAAATGTTAATCACTGCCTAATCGGCGTATATGTATTCATATTTTATAAGTAAACAAGTTTTAAAAAACATGATTGTTTCATGACTATCTCTACTCATTTTCAAAACTTAACAAAGAAAAAGAAATAAAAGTAAAATCTTTCAATTTATTTTCTTTTTCTATTTTTGTCTTTCACAAATCTAAGAGATTATCAAATCTTTTTAATTTTCCGACTCCAATAACATTTTCTTTCCATCAAATAATACCAAAAACACCCTAAAAGTCTTCCAGAAAATTTCGCTATTGCATTATACAATGGTGCTACAATAATCTATAGCACAATAATAGATTATATTTATAGCAATCCAATCACATATGAATATGCCATGTTTGTCCTCCAACAAGTAATATTAGGTAAAAGACATCACGATTGGAACTTGTGTGATAGTTGACACCAATTGCATTTAAATTCATCCTAAATTGTACACCGACAATTTAAATTCATCCCTCAAAACAATTTTGTAACAACTCAAGGGCAACAATAATTGATAACTATATTAAAAAGTATAAATAAAAATATATGCAAAAAATTGATATGTTACCTTCCAAATTTATTCAGTAAGGTTGTATTTGAACTATGGATTTGGATAAATATTTAGAAAGAAAAAGGAAAAAAAGCATGCGAAATATTACTATATTTCACTTACTTTTTTATTTATTTATTTTAAATCCCTATTCAAATATATTCTCTAAATACAGCCTAAGAGGGTAAAAGAGAAAGAAAAAAATGCAATGTAAAACTTTAATTCAAGCATCACACTTTATAAGAATGCGTCTCAATCACCAAGCCAACTCTTAATCGTGCAATTCTTCACTTTGAGAAATAAAAAAGTAAAAAAATATGTATGATTAAGTAGAAGAATTTTAAAATAAACAAAAATTAAAGGGTAAATTATAAATACATATTCCTTGAAATTTGCTTAAAGTTCAAATTGTTCATGTGATTTAGAAAATTACAAATACCACATTGTCAAAATTTTTTATTTAATAGAATTTACTAAAAAAATAAAATTCATAATTGTTATCCTATACAACAATAAAATTATTTAAATTATTAATTGAAATTTATTTTTAATATTATTAAAAATTGTTAATTAACTTAATAATTTATTAATAAAATGGACGATTTATTATTAGAAATTTTAAGAGGTAAAATATAATTTTCAAAATTATAAAGAGATTCGTATTTTAATAAATTTTCAAGAAGTGTATTTATAATTTATTAAAAAAATAAAAATGTGCCTTACATGGCATTACGTATACAAACAAATAATTACAAATCAAATTAAAGAAAGAATACGGTTCAATCACCAAGCCAACTCTTAATCATGCAATTCTTCACTTTGAGAAATAAAAAGTATATAAAGGCACCGTTTGGGAAGAAGTTGGTTGGGCTTTTTTGGCTATTTTAGCCACAAAAAACAAAATAGGCTATTTTAGCCATAACAAACAAAACATCACATCCAACCCATAATCATTACACTTTTCTCTCACAAAAAAAGTCAAAAAAGCCAAAAACCAAAAAGTCCTTCCCAAACTAAGCTTTTTAGCCCAGGCTAAAATAGCTAAAAAAGCCAAAAAGCCAAAAAGTCAACCCACTTCCCAAACGGAGGCAAAATAATAAAATATGTATGATTAAGTAGTAGAATTTTAAAAGGAACAAAAAAATTAAAATGTGCATCACACAATGGCATCATGTATACAAACAAATAATTACAAATCAAATTGAAGGAAGAAAAAAAAAACAAAACCCCATAAAGTGACTCATTATTATCATCTTTTGACAAGTAAAAAAAAAAAAAAAACAACAACAACAAAAAAACAAATTTCCTTTCTATGCAATTTGGGACCATTTCACACCATATAGAGCATCCCATCAAACCCATGACCCGACCCACTAAATCAACCCCACTCCCATCCACAAACTCAAAACCACCATAACCAACATGCCGGAAAATCTCCCACGCCCACTATCACTGGCGGTTTGGTCCGCCGCTGCGTCCGCCGGAGCATCCGGCCCCGGCGCCGTGGCTTGCGCCGTCTCCTTCGGAGCTGGCGCCGCCGCCGCCGCCTTAAACAACTCACTGGGTTCCAACACCTTGTCAATCTTATACACCACCAACGGCTCTTCATCCACCAACGTCCCCGTCACCGCCGCCGTAACCACCTTCGTCTTCAACGTCACATCTTCGCCACTGGTCTGCACTGTGAAATCATACTTGTTCGCTCCATCAGTCGCCAAAGTGTTCATCAACCCATTATTCGATTTCAATGTCTGCATCGATTGGTACACCGGAACGCCGTGATATAACAGCAACGATACTTTTCCGGCCGCTGTCAAGTTCTTGTACTTGGGCATGAATGAATTGAGAATAGAGTCACTCGGGCAGAACACAGTTAACCCACCATCGAGATTTTCATTGAATGTTGATTCGGCTCCTGAGGATTTCAATAGATCTGCGAACGATTTACAGCCCTGTTTCGCCATTAGAACTGTCAAATTGAGCTGGGATGGTCCAGGAATCGGAGCTTCGGCCTCCGCTGAATTCAAGATCTGACTGACTTGAATCACAGAGATGTTATAAGGGTGTTCTTCGATCGATTTGACAAACGTGGAGCTGAGTTTTCCACCATTGTCTACGGCTCCGAAACCCACTTTCCCGCCTTTGAGATCGGTGATGTTGACGTAGCCGGAGGTGCCGGGAGCTTCGCCGGTGGCCTGGAACATGGTGGCGGTGAGGGTGGAACCTTTGGTGATCTGGTGGAGCTTTTTGGCGCCGAAGTAGTCGGCGAAGACGTGGAGAGAGAGGACGTTTTTGATTGTATAGAGAGTGAGGTGTTTGGAGAGGAGGTCGGACATGGCGGCGTTGTCGACGGCGCATACGGTGATGGTGGTGCGGCGGTTGATCTCGGCGGCGAGGTGGGTGACGGTGAGGTAGTGGTTGAAGGTGGAGAAGTCAGGGTGTTGGGCGAGGATGCGGGTGATGTTGTGGGCGTGAGTGGTGGTGGAGGGGAGGAGGAGAGAGAGGAGGAGCGAGAGAGCTAGAGCTCCGGTGAGTGCCGGCGAGAGCTGCATTGTGTCGGCTGAGAGAAGAAGGTTTCAACTTTCAAGTTTCAAGTTTCAAGTTTTAAGTGAGGGAACAACGTGACTGTGAGTGCCACTCACTAGTGTGTTAGTGTGTGTGTATATATGTATTCTTACTAGCTTAAATGGTTTGCCATTTTTATATAAAAGAAATTGCCACAAATAAGATTTTTTTTTTTTTTTAAACAAAAAAGGGGCAGTTAGGCTGTGCGAGCCCTCAGTCCCGATCTAAAGACTTTACTTGAGGTAAAATATAAGAGCATCTCTTATCGTTTGTCAAAATTTTTATTAAATTTAAATTAAAAAAGATTTATTTTTTTTATTTTTGATACAGACTGCTCTAATAGTGGGCATCAAAACAGGGATCGATCGGTTGACCGCTAAGGCATTTTTTTTTTTTTTAACCTCTTTGAACCTTTTGACTTGTTTGAACTAAAATTTTTGCAAGGAAACCGGTGGACCGGTTCGTTGACCGGCCGATCAATCGACTGGTTGACCAGTTGGTCTCCCCAATGGTCACGCACAGTGAAATGATGAAAGCTGCTGCCTGCTCTCACTTTGATAAATTTTTTGGTAAATTCTTAATTTGATACCGATTTGATGTAATCATTGGAACACCAAACAGTGACTTTTTCACCAAAATTTAAATTTGATATCAAGTTTGATGAACCATTGGAGATGATGTAAGGATTTCATTCGAGAAATTATGGGATATCAAACTCAAGTTGAAAGCATTTTGGGCCCACTCTTCTGCACAATTAAGGCTTGCTTTGGCAAGTTAAAAAATCAGTTTTTGATCTTTTTTGGTCAAAAAAAGTTAGCCTTTTTTATCCAAGCTATTACTTAAAAGTTAACTTTTTTTGGCTAAAAAAAGTCAAAGTCAGTTTTTACCAATTTTTCAAAACACCACCAAAAGTTTTGATTATTGATGGTTATATTTTTAATTTTAATTTGCATAAAAAATGAAAATTTTAATTTTAAAAAATAAAATAAAATTCTGGTGTATAGCATGGATTGACTGTTAATTAATATATATTGAGTAATGCTAGAGATCATTAAAAAAATATCATGAAAATGATCATGAAATATTCTCCACTGTTAGATTACACATATAATAAAATACCACACATTAATCAAATGATGAAAAATCTTCTTAAAATATTTTATGATTTTTTTTTATGATCCCTAATATTATTCGTATATATTTAATATATTCTAACTTTAAGAAATGTCAGATTCAAATTCTTTCCATCACTTTTTTTTTTTCTTCTTTTTTTTGAATATCTAATCATAATCTAGTAATTGATTCAAAATCACAATTCAATAACCAATATTAAAGGCTATTTTGAGAAGTGGATTAAAAGTGATTTCCTAACTTTTACCCACTTCTCTTTCTTACCAAAAAATTAAAAAAAATTAAAAAATAATTTTTAACCATCTTTTCAAAACACCCCTAAATCATTAGCATAGAATAATTGACCGCTTCAAGTATTTGTACAGTGGTGTCATTATTTATTTATTGTAAACTTCTTCTTTTTTTTAAATTTTTTTATAGTGGTGTCGATTTTTATTATTATATATATTTTTTGTAAAGTTCTATTTCATTTATGTGGTTTTTTTTTAAAAAAAAAATAAAATAAAATTCAAAAGGAATCATGATACGTTTTTTTCCTATATATTATTATTATTTTTTTTCCCCTTTATTTTGCTACAACTTCTATTTCTTCACCCCTGATTACACCAAGTGGTAAAGGTGCTCGCGGTTCAATTTTAAATGGTTCGGTTTGTGATTTAGATTCACTCGTATGTTTGCGGTTTGAGAAAAATTGAATCCGCAATCATCCACAATGCGGGTTGTGATTTGTGCAGATAAGATTCACGGATGTGCAAGGGTTTTGCGGATTAGATTTTTTTTCTTTAAAAATTTATTTTCGGCTTTTTTTCCCGTATATTGTAAATATTTATTTTGGACCATTTTCTCCTCATTTTCTAAAATGCTCAACATTAATAATTAATGAATTAAAACTTATAAAATTAAAAACACAACAAAATTAAAACTATACATACATGGGACTAAATGGGTTAAAAAATTTCTTCATGGACTTCTTGGGTTAAAACACTTCTAAATTGGACTTATCAATAAAAATTCCTTTTTTCGCCTATATTGTAAATATTTATTTTGCACCATTTTCTCCTCATTTTCTAAAATGCTCAACATTAATAATTAATGAATTAAAACTTATAAAATTAAAAACACAACAAAATTAATTCCTAACACAAACAAATCATTTAAAATCTTAAACTTTTAAATAAAATTATAAACCAATACAAGCAAATCTTTCAAAATCCTAAACTAAATCATCAAAATTATTTACTACCTAACAATACAATTATAGTAAAATCATTCAAAATCCTAAATTTATTTAAAAAGTAATTTTTCATTAACATTTACATTTATCTAAAATACAATAATAAAATAATAATAAATTGTTGTCAAATTTCATCCAATTCAAACCCATTAAATAAAATAAAAACATTTGCAACTCACGAACTCCTTCTAGGATAGGAAGAATGAAATCAACGGTCTAGGTTTAAAAAAAAAAGAGTTTAAGTGCGGGCGGGTTCTTGCGGGTGCGGGTAAAACCCGCAACCCACTCGCAAACCGCAATAATGCCATATTTCAAATCGCATCCCCCTTGTATTGTGTCTGCAAAATCATCTATGTGTATGCAGATCAGTCCAGATTAGACGGGTTATATGATTCGGATAACCTTATGTCTAGGTATACCAAGTGATAAACAATTTTAAAAATAGAAGGAAGAATTTGAAAAAAATTAATTAATTGATATTATTTATCACCTCATTAAAAATATAATGGAAGGATGAGATATTTCTCTAATTTTTATGGGGCTTCATTGTTCATTCCTTAAATTTGTCATCCAAACCACCAACCCGGTCCCTCTTCTCCATTCCATTATAGTGTGAGGGAGAGAAATTTTTTCCAATAGGTGAAATTAATCTCCTTTGGTTGGTAACTAGAAGAGAAATTTTTAATATTTGACGTTACTCTTCAATTCTTTTTTGGATTCCTACTCAATTTTGGACACATCTTTAGTTTTTGTATGTATTTATGTAGAAAACCAATTGGCTACCTAGTTGATCAAGACTTTCTGTACTCACTATAGAGGCCAAGTGCTTGAGTCTTTACCATCTCCTTTTTATACTTATTAGAGCATCTTTGGATTCCTACTCAATTTTGGACACATCTTTAGTTTTTGTATGTATTTATGTAGAAAACCAATTGGCTACCTAGTTGATCAAGACTTTCTGTACTCACTATAGAGGCCAAGTGCTTGAGTCTTTACCATCTCCTTTTTATACTTATATTTTTAATATTTGACGTTACTCTTCAATTCTTTTATGGATTCCTACTCAATTTTGGACACATCTTTAGTTTTTGTATGTATTTATGTAGAAAACCAATTGGCTACCTTGTTGATCAAGACTTTCTGTACTCACTATAGAGGCCAAGTGCTTGAGTCTTTACCATCTCCTTTTTATACTTATTAGAGCATCTTTAATGCTTTGTTATTGGAGCTAGAGATGTGTAACGAATATTTCAATTCATTCAATTTGATTTGATTAAATTGATTTGTCACATTTTGAAAGGATATATGATGATAAGTAGACGATTATGGTTTGATTTCTTTTAATCTGTCTAATTTTAGACGGATGACAAATTTAAAATTCTTTTAACCGCAATCGAACCGCCAAACTCCAAGTACTCCTAATAATTTGTAAGACTTTGTGTTTTTAATTTGTTTAGATATTCTGTTTGTGTTTTCAGTTGAAAAAAAAGAAAGATATTATGTTGTGTTTTCAATTTGAAAATCCTTTTAACAAATGACAAATGTTGATATTTCGTATTTTTGTGTGGAAAATATAAGACTTAATTTTGTCATTTTTTTTTTAAATCAAATTAAATAGTTTTTGAATAAAAAAAAATAATGAAATAGTTTTGATAATGCATGGTTCTCTTATATGTATTTATTATTGGTATTTGACAATTTACTTGATAATTTTTTGATTATATTGAGTTGGATTGTTATTCCAAAAAAAATGTTGACAAGTTGTATTATATTTAAAATTTGTAAAAGTTTAAACCGCTAAATCAATTCGCATCTATCCGCCAATCCGCTCAATCCACATCTACCAATCCGATGGACGGATGCAAATTGATTTTTTTTAATCCGCCAATCCAGCGGACAGATGGCGGATTGAAGGTTCTCCGGCCGCAACCAAACCTCGAGCACCCATAATTGGAGCTGTCAAAACTGTAATGGCCCCGTTTGATACAGCTGTGGGAAAGTGATTATAAATTATAGTTTAACAGATTATAACTTATAGTTTTAAACATAAGCTGTTAACTTGTTTGGTGTAACTGTGGGATTATGGATTTAATCAGTATAGTAGTGTTTGGTTGAATAAGCTGTAAAATAATTTTTTGCTGTGTAATGTCATTTTTGCCTCTTTTTTAAAAAAAAAAATTCCTTAATTTTATTTTATTTTTTATTCTCTCTTCTTCTTTTTTTCTCTTAAGTATTTTTTATTCTCTCCTTTCCCTATTTCTTTTTTTTTTCTTTTCTGCTCTTAATTTTTTTTTCTTAATTTTATTTTAGTTTCTTTAGTTTATAGTTTTTTTTTTCAAATTAAAAGTGATGCATGTATAGTGAGATTGATCTTGAGAAAATTTTGAAAAATGCTGAAATACCAATTAATTGATATTTTTTTAATTTATTAAAAATTAAAAATTGTTACAAATACCAATTAATATTTTTAATTTATTTTTTCAAATTAGAAGTGAGTTAATTGATATTTTTTTTAATTTATTAAAAATTGTTACAAATGCCAATTAATATTTTTTAAATTTATTTCATTAAAGGCTTAAAATGCTTTATTATTATTATTATTATTATTATTATTATTATTATTATTATTTATTATTATTTTTAATTAAAAAAAATACTAAAAATCCTAGTTCCGACGGAAAGTCGTGGCAATAGGGGGTGGGATCGCGACGGCGGAAGGTCGACCCACCGTTTTCAATCGGAAC